TGTTATTTGCATGTATTTAAATGAGATAATATGCATATATTTGTGCATATGTGCATATATATATGAGTTCTTGGTGCAAAGCCAGCATTTATACTTCGCCATGTGGCTAATTGCAATCAGGGGCAAATCAAGGGCAAACTGCACTCAGCTGCCAAACTTTGTGGGCGTGTTTGCGCTGGTATATCATTAGCGCAATATCCTTTGTGAATAGGATGTTAAGACGGAGCAAACTGCGGGTGCAAGTGAAGTGCAATTCAAGGTGCTATCAGCGGCCGCAGTTCGTTCTTTGTGAATTCAGCCCTCAGTGTGCAAAGGTCTTAAAAGGTAACATCTTCAAAATCTGTACAGGAATTATTTTACAGCCAAACACACAAAGAGATGATTAATAAATTCAGAATTTGGTTCATGAAATGCAACTGGGACGGTGCTGATCATGTATGATAGTTAAAAATGCCCTTGAATGCATAATTCTATTCATAAGGAGATTTTACTCTTAAGATAGCAGTTAGTCTGGATGTGTGTCTTGACGTTTATTCCTACCTGTTGAGTCTCTGGAGTTACGTCTACTTCTACGACTTCCACCAGGTGTTTCTCTTCAGCTGTTGGGACTTTAGCATTGACTTGGCTTTTCCATTGGTTTCTGTACTCACACTTGAGGCACTGTTGGTTCAAGATGATGACCACATCAAAGGTGGCCTTCTCCGTCTTTACTTTAGAGCCACACAATGGACACTTGTGGCTGAACAACTGGAGGAGACGTTTTTCGTTCACAACGAACTTCCCTTTCATCTGCAGAAGTGCAGCTCTGAAAAATGGGGTAAACAAACCATTGTGAGACACAGCTTTAAAAAGCTAAGCTGGTTTAATCAAGGTACATCTGTTACAGAGGAATGAACTTACTTTTTCCTGATCATATCAATGTTTGCAACTTTTTGTATCATCTGACCGTAATCAGGATCTGGAGCATCACTTGGCGCAGGGCTTTGTTGGGCAGCTGTAAATTAAATTTAAAGCTCATTATTCACATTAAAAGAACAATTTAAGTGAATCCACACTTTATTTGTAATAACACATAAAAAAACTAAAGTTTCTTACCTTCTGAAGTATGCTCTGATTGTGATTCTTCAGAACAGGGAGGTGGTGGACTATCACATATTTCTGTATGTTCCAATTCTTCAGAACAGGGAGGTGGTGGACTATCACATTTTTCTTGTTGATCGCATTGAGAATCAACTTCTGGGGGTTCGTCAAGCTCCTACACAGAGTAACAAAAGGAAAAGTTTGTAGTTGTAGCATAGACTGTCACAAAGGTTACATACAACACACCACAAGTTCTGTTTGGTCGGAGTTTCTATTAAAAATACCTTACAGAACTACATGTCTGTTTGTTTTTTAACATGAAAATAAAGATTATGGTTCACATTAATGTTGAATGGCTCAATACGCATACACATGTTATTATCTCTACAACAAGGACATGGCAAGTGCGCATTATTGTCAGCACTATAAGGCAAGGTCTTTTAAGGCACATTGGACACCGGTCAGTATAAACATTTCAACTGGAGCAATGAAATGTGCAGATGCGAGCCACTTTCATATCCTGCCACTCAAAGTTGCATACAACACTCCTGCTATGACTCCTAATACCCGTTTCTGGTGTGATACATCAGTTATTTGCGTTAAGGAAATGTGGGAATACCTATCTGGCTTGTGATAGGGCGCTCAGAGGGCTGCTGACGATTTTGTAATTCACAAGTAAAATAAATGACTGATTCACACTGGGATTTTATATTAAAAAAAACATAAAATGCATCAAATTAGAGCTTATTTGTTAAAAAAAAAAAGTGCCAGGGGAGGATCCCCCAGACTGCCCGACAAAGGTCCAGGTAAATCCTAAAAACGCCCCTGCGGACACCTGACCTGTGCAGTGCTGTTGTGACTGAATTTGCCTCTTAACAAAGATGGGGGAGGACAGCAAACGCCCCGATGTTATATCCAGTTTTTTTCCCTACCTTATTTTAGTGATCATCAAGTCTCTTCTGTAGTGGAATTAATATCATATTATGCATGCATACTCTAATCTTGATGGCTCACCAGCAGAAGTAGACATGAAATACAATACTTTACAATGTATGTAATATTCATTTATTGTGGAAACTTAAAAAAAGCATCTTGGCTGAGTCAGATAGTTCATTTTAAAGCTGATATCAGCCGATATCAATGACGTCCTGATACTATGGTGTCTCCCTATTATAAATATTATTATTGTCTGTTTATTAACAGGGCCCTGGCCCCCTGACATTATTAAGGAAACGTGGGCCCATGCTAAACAAATTGGGTGTCCCTGAGCTACAGTTTAATACACCTAACACACCTGCATATTTCTTATGCATCTCTTTAACACTGGGTTTGTTAGTGTGTAACTTCAATCAATAGAGTAATAAACACCAAACTGTCAATGCAAAACAACATTTACTGTACGTGACTATTACATACGTGCTGTGGCTCTGACCTACTTGTTAATGGTTAATTTAAATGATGTGTGCGTGATACGATGAATGAATTCTTTCCACTCAGCAGGATGTGTGTATCAAAACCAACAACCCATAGAAACAACATGGTGTCAGCAGCAGTCTGTGGCATGTTAGAGACTTGTGTATGTTAGTGTACTTAAAGTAGTTAAAGTAAGCAGAAGCATCTCATACTGTGTCCTCACCTGTTTCACTTCAGGTTCTGCTGGTTCCGACTTGACACACAGTGATGGGACAGCACCGGACTTCAGCTGGACCGTCCCGCTTTGAGTCTGGTTTATAAAACAGTCCTCAGTGAAATGGTGTCTGCAGATGGTGATATCAGTCCAGGACGATTCTTTCAGCCGTTGACCGTTGACTTCCAGGACGAACTGGACCCACTCCAGCCTCCTCTCTGGATCCTCCGGTAACTTGAACCGTTGCGCAGCGCGACGCCACGAGTCACAGCCGTCGACGGAGCACATGTTGAAACTAACTTTTGTTGCTACAGCTTTATATTTCCCACAAGTGAGCTGCAACATGGAGCTCCTCGGTGGGCTGCTCCTCAATGCTAACAACAGTAACAAGCTAGCAGGTCGTGGCTGTGGCGGTAACACACAGAATGGGCGGGGCTCTGTGGCTGGGGTCGCTTGGTTTGTTGTAAGGCGTGTCCCGGCTTTAAAAGGATAACAGGTATTTTTCAACCTGGGCCCTATTTCCCCATGTGTATGTGTGCGTATGATTCATAGGTACAACTCCTTTTAAAACTGGTTTAGTATTGAGGGAGGCGGATGCAACGGGGAGCCGCGAAACGAACTAAAACGGTAGAAATGGGGGCAAATGCGTCCTGTATAAGTTTGCGCATTAAAAGTGCTTTTTTCGCCACTGACCGGTTCTGATCGCTTCCTCTGGCCTGTGTGACGTCATCTCGCGAGAGCTTTGCTTGTTGCTCTGTTGAAGAAAACAGAGGAGACACAACTTTTCCCCACAGAAATGTTATATTTGGAACAACTGTAGTATTTTGTACAAAAATAAGTCACTATTTTATGATAAATGGTTCAACCACGGTATTCTTTTAGTGAGTCAGTTATTTAACAGTAGAGGACTTCTGTACAACTAGTCTGAATTTCTGGCCCGGTACAATATACCTGTAACTCTAAAAGAATTTTCAATAGTTTTTGATGCAATCCCATCTGGTTTTTGTATGTTGTTTAAGAATGATGACCACTCTCCACCCCTGTCATTGTCACCCCCCAGTACATTAGAAACTTCACTGGGTAAAGTTTGCTTTTCTCTTAATAGAAGTATAAATTCTAAAATAAGAGCCTTGTTTTAGGAGGAATTGGTTTCTGTTCCTACAGCAACATTTTACTTTAGCAATTTTGTTGGTAATATCAACTGGAAAAAAGTCTGGTCTTTACCACAAAAGTTTCTTCTAACTAATAAGGTAAAGGAAGTTTCATTTAAGCTGATCCATAGATTCTATCCAGTTAAACACTTTTTACAAAAACTGAAGAATGACATTGATGTAAAATGCTACTTCTGCGAATCTCTTCCCGAAACATGCTGTCATTTATTTTGGTATTGTGAATTTACTCGTGAACTGTGGAATGAGATTAATAAATTCATAATTACTAGTATTTTCCCAGATTTTGTCTTATACTATAAAAACGTTTTATTTGGCTGTTGTGATTACAGAAGTAAAGATGAGAACGCTTTCTTTCTTATTAATCTAATTCTACTGTTGGCTAAGTTTCACATACACAAGTGTAAATTCACAAACAAAAAAACTAATTTCTCTCTGTTTATAAAAGAAATGGAACAGGATATATCAACGATCTCCCCATCACAGAACAAAAAAGCTATCAAAACCTTTAATATATGCTCTACTTATAAAGTGTTTACGTGAACTGACTCCCATACTCTCGCACCCTTTTTTCCCCTTTCTCTTTTTTTTCGTTTTCTTCACCTCTCATGTCTTTCTTGTTTACTTTTGATTGTAAGTGATTTGTTTTATATCTGTCATTTTTGTCTGTTCAGCGCACATTCGCGCTATGTTGTGTTCAAGGTTGCACCAGCATACTTGTGTTGTTTTTATACGTATCTGTATGTGCCAGCAATTTTCAATAAAGTTTGAAGGAGAAAAAAAAGACAACAGATGAGCCATGCTGTCTTAGCGCCGCTCAGAGTGGCGCTGGTTGTCCCAGAGTACAGTTGAGAGTTTTACTGCATTGATTGAAAACAATGGTTCGTGTTTGTGCTTATCCGAATTGCAAGAAAAGGATGTCAAACAACACCCAGTACAGCTTTCATAGGATGCCTTTGTAGGAAGGAAAGATGATGAAGTTGTGGCTAGTTGTGCTACAAATGGATGCTAACACTCCTATCCAGACACTGCGCCTTGCAGACCATCGGGTCTGCAGTGCTCACTTCTCCCAAGATGACTACTGCCAACCGAAGAAGAGAAGACATCCAATCCCGAAACACCTCTTCCTCAAGAAAACGGCTGTCCCACGAGTAGAGAGAGCTACAGACACAGTGAAGGTAATGTTATATAAACAATGGTCGAAACGCTTAGTATGCTATTTACAGAGATAGCACTGGCGATCTGAACCGGTCAGTGGCGAAAAAAAGCACTTTAAATGCGCAAACTTATACGGGATGCATTTGCCCCCATATCTACCGTTTTAGCTCGTTTCGCGGTTGCATCCGCCTCCCTCAATACTGAACCAATTTTAAAACGAGTTGTACCTATGAATCATACGCACACATACACATGGGGAAATAGAGCCCAGGTTGAAAAATACCTAAGTTATCCTTTATATGTTTAGCAACTCCCGAGTCCATGACAAGCAGGTAGATACCATTCTTTCGACTGTGCGTGCAGTAACAAGGGAGAGACGGGCAGAGCTTGTCCACCGCTAATTAGCTTAGCTCATATGTCGGGAGTCAATGGGAAGCATTAGCCTGCCTCTGCCTACAGTCATCAGATAAACTCTTCAGCAACTCTAAACGGTCCTGTGTGCTTGTTGTGACTCGTTTTTACCGCGTTATGTTACGTTATCTATTTTTAGACTAAGATTAGCACTTTATGTGATTTTCAAAAGAAATACATAGGAAACTTATCCTCAGGGGGCGCATGCGCGCCAGTAAACAGCTGAGGAAGAAAGAAGAAGAAGAAGAGCTCATGCAGTAGATCGGTGAAGGAGTTTGTAGGACACTGACACTTTTTTTGAAAGAGATATTTATAAATCAGAATTTTACAAAGATGCCTCGTACGTGTGCTGTACGGGGTTGCTACAATAAGCACAAGACATGGTCAAATCTTATTTTTCACGCAATTCCAACTAGAAATCCGGAGCGGATGAAACAATGGCTAGGTGCTCTGAACATGGATCCCAACACACCACAAGAAGCAGTCAAGAAGATGCTAGTTTGCTCAGAGCATTTTTCACGGGACGACTACTACGAAAAACTGGAATTCAGAACCCAAACAATGAGACTTTTCTTGAAGGACACGGCCATCCCATCACTCAGTGTCACACAGACAGTAAACGAGGCAAGTACTTGTGTTTTGTTTTCCCGTTGTAACGTTTAGCACGGCATATTATCTTGCGCCAGACAAGTGTTACAGGCTGAGCCGTGTGTGTGTGTGTGTGTGTGTGTGTGTGTGTGTGTGGGTGGAGCTTTGTATGTGTGTAGTTGATGTAGGAGATATGAGACGTTAGTGCGCCGGGTATGGTGTGTGACGTCAGACAGATGCGCCCAGGAAGAAAGCGAGGCATGTGCTACATTGTTTACATCCAGCAGCCACAGTGAAGAAGCCTACGCAGTTCTGTATGCTGTTTTTGCGTTATTTTCCTCTATGTAAAAGTCGGACACTGATGAGAGAGGCTGTGCATCATTCCTGCAGTGCTGGAAATAAAGTGCCGTTCTTCAACGCAGACGAAGTCTCGTTGTTTATGTGAGCTAACACAAGCTAAAGGAGCTCGTGGTCTTCGCAGGTCCCTTTACTATGGTTCGGGGGTCTGCCAGCTTGGCGTTGGTAGCACAAGATAAATAGGACGGCCATTGAACTGTATTTACTGTCTAAAAAACGAGTCACAACAAGCACACAGGACCGTTTAGAGTTGCTGAAAGGGATAGTTAGACGCTTTGGCAAATTCGCCTATTGCCGTAATTACAACCTTTTACAAACCATGATTTACAATAACACTGTAAACTTTTCTCAAACTTTCTGGTGCGTCCAGCTCACGATACCGCAAATGCAAGGCTGCAAGCAACATCTATGGCACTGTCTCAGGTGCGCTCCTCTAGAGCGTTTTGGAGTCATTTGATTAGTTTTGAGGGAGAGAGGGGGCCGTACCGTTCACCTCCATTTTGTGCACTGACAATTAAAGGGATACGCCAATATTTTTTTTGTTTGCGTGTCTTGCCTCACTCCCGAGTCCATGACAAGCAGATAGATACCATTCTTTCGACTGTGCGTGCAGTAACAAGGGAGAGACGGGCAGAGCTCGCCCACCTCTAATTAGCTTAGCTCAAATGCTGGGAGTCAATGGGAAGCATTAGCCTGCCTCTGCCTACAGTCATCAGATAAACTCTTCAAGGGACAGTTCGACATTTTGGCAATTTCGCCTATTGCCGTAATCCCTATAGTTATATGGGTAGGTACACTACCTTTAATTATCAGTGCCATTATTATTATCAGTGGAGGCGAACAGTATGGCCCCCTCTCTCCCTCAAAACTAATCAAATACACCATCAGAGTTGTTTTGAAGCCAAATGCACAACCGGAACTACATTCCAGACATACAGTGATTTCAAACAGCGTATGTTTAAAGGAGTACTCCGACGATTTGGGAGTTATGCCCTTTCTCTATCATTTTCATATTGAGACAACATGATGGATATCTTTTTTGTGGCTGTACGTCCAATGGCTGGGTCTCAGCGGTTAGCACTGCGGCTTAGCTTAGCGAACACAATTGAAGTCTAGGGGGTCAGTAGCCTGTGTAAAAGTGAACAAATAAACGTTACAGAAACCCTGAAGCTGGCATTTCTACACGTGCATTTAAAATAAACATGTTTAAACATTAATTCGAAAAACGGGAGTCCTTTTAGAAGAAGTTTGATACACAGAACTATAGTGTGTTTACGTCCTGCATGGAGGGATACACCAGCGAGCAACAGCTGCAGCTGGCTCTGGGACAGGAACGCTAGGTCACTTGGTAAAAGCAAACAAAGAGACGACACAGACGATCATGCCTCGAAAATGTAGAATTGCAACTTGCAAAAACATTCAAGGCAAACCTACAGGGACTCCTGTGATGTTTCACCGGTTTCCAGCTCGCAACCCAGAGCAATTTCGAAAATGGCTCGTTGCTGTACAAATGGACCCCAACACACCTCAAAAAGACCTGCCACGACTGCTAATTTGCTCGGAGCACTTTGTGAGGGAGGACTACATTGAAAAAACAGAGCAAACCGGTACAAGGTTTTTTCTGAAAGATACAGCCATCCCATCTGTCGGTAGACAGAGAGGACAAAGGGAAACACCTGAGGCTGTGGTAAGTAAGGTACTGTAATTAAATTATAAAGTGCTTTTGTTATGTTGCTGCGTCTGGAGTTCAGCTGATTAGCGATAAGTTTATGTACAAGGTATGGTGCTGTAGGGTGCTCTGAACCCCAGTTTTAGAGGACTGTATGCAGCTTTTGTTTAACTGCAAGCTTTTGCTTTTGTCATTCACTTAGCGGTCAACTGCTGCATCCAGGACGTGCTCCGTGGTCAGATGTGATTCATGGCGTCGCAGTGCACTACTGTTTAAGTTACCGGAGGATCCAGAGAGGAGGCTGGAGTGGGTTCAGTTCATTTTCGAAGTCAACGGGCAGCGACTGAAAGAGTCATCCTGGACTGATATCACCATTTGTAATGAACACTTTACCGGTGACTCTTTTGAAGACACGGGCCAGCTAAAGCTCCGTGCTGTCCCAACACTGTGTGTCAAGTCAGAGCCAGACGATTCCCCGGAGAGCCCACAGAATGAGGTGAGTCTGCTCAGACAGCTGTAGCATCTTTTCCTGTCCCTGTCCTACATTTTTAACAAAACAGCAGAGCATACATTTCAAATAAATCTAGGAGAACTCCAGGCTACATATGTATTGTTTGTCATGCTTATCACAAACATGTAAGTGTTTTATATGTTTAGATGCCACTGTATTATAGACTACAGAGTTAACTTAGATGCCACATAGCGTCTGCCACGACCTCATTTCAATGTAACATAACGTTAAGCAGCAATTGACTTGCACACTAACCTTGTGAGTTTGCTAACTGTACGGTGTATGACATTAGCACAGCTAGCTAACAATAGCAAGCTCATGTGGTTAATAGACAAGTTATTTGCCGCTTAATACAACAGTTATGGTTTGTCGAGATATTAAGGTTGTGTTGTTTATCTTGGTGGAAGTCATGTTGCTTATTGACACCGCAACATGCAAATGTATCCTGATGGTAGTCTCTGGCGTAGGTCTGGGTGATATAACGACTATGTACTTTATTTTGATATATTTTCAGCAGATTAAAGGGAAGTATATTGTGAATGAAAGCTGCCTCCTCCAGTTGTTCCGCCGCAAGTGCCCGTCGTGTGGCTTTAAACTTCTGATGGAGAAGGTCACCTCTGGGGTGCTCATCACCTTCACCCAAACTTGCCTGAAGTGTGACTACAAAAACCAGTGGAAGAACCTTGTCAATTACGCTCTTCCTACAGCTGTGGATCAACACCTGACAGGAGGCACAGAAGAAACTCCAGAGATCAAACAGGTAGAACTTGAATTGTAAGACACAACACACAACAACACATCGAGACTCTCTGAATGTAGTATAATGACCTCAGAACCTACTCTATCTTATGAAACTCCAGAACGGGCAAGATCATTCTTTTTTGTTAAGGTTTGCAATCCCTCTCATCAATACAGAAAGGCTGGGTTAGGGCTGGGCGATATGGCCTAAAAAAATCTCAGATTTTTTCACAACAAATCTGATTCACGATTTAAATCACCCCCCCCCCCCCAATTGTTTTAAGACTTAGCATGTACCTGGGGTCCAAAACTTACAGCATGTGAATAAACCCCGGCTTTGGTAGGTTGTTTTTTTTGCCGTGGTGCTGGGGCTGCCACGGTCTTGTTCATTTCGTAGGGAGCAGCACCTCTCCCACTTGGCAGCATGCCTCTGTTTGAGGTGCTGCTTTGGTAGCAACAGCCTTCAAACACACTTTGCAGCGGGGTGCTGTTGTTCTGTGTCTGACGCCACAAAACCGAACCAATTCCAAATAACTGAAGACACAGTTCTTCCCCACTCGCTGCCATGTTGTTTGTCTATCAAGCGCACGCGGGGGAGGGGTGAGCCCATTCTGAACTACGGGAGCCCAGCGGGGAGCGTCAGTGGCGGATGTTAAAGAGAAACTCGATTTTCATTAAAACAAATCGACCTAAACTACAAATTCGAATTAATCGATAAAATGGATTTATCGCCCAGCCCTAGGCAGGGTTATATTATGATAAAGTATTATGTAGTATTTTGTAAACTGCCCTCATGCTTTGGTTGTTATGATTATGGCTGCGGCACAGTAGTTAATTATGGGTGTAACACGACCTACATTCAGGGATTGTGCTGGCTGAGCAACATAACTTCCTCACACTGGTGCGCTATCCATGTTGAGGTTAGGCAGCTGGAGTCAAGGACTACCATCACTGCACAAATGCCTGTAATTTGTGCTGTTTACAGTTGTTCCAATCGATCAAATTTGGAAAAATAAAGGTCACTTTAGTCCCAAAAATAGTGGGAGAGGTAAAAAAAAAACTAACTGAGAAAAAACAGTAGAAGTGGATCAAAAACCTCCATTTTCAGTCTGGAGAAGTAGAGTCAACTCCTCCAACTAATGTCGGATGTTAATGTTAAAGCGTTGTGTTTAACTTCTCCACATTTTTAGCCATGACACAGAATTTTTTCCCCATACTTTTTCAGCCTCCCTAGTCCTCATTTCACCAGACATCTGGCAATGGTGAACCTAGTAATGTTATCCTGACAGCGATGCATCTGTGCACAGAGTTGAAATATAAAGGACAGTTATACTTAAGGACATTTACTTACCCAGCCAAAAACAAGATGGCAGTCATTTCGGTCGAGGATCCAACCACACACAAATGAGTTAAAGTCCACTAGACTCTTTCATTGGCTTTCTGTGCAACATAAGATTAGGAGGTCTGGAGGACAAGGTAATGTGTAATGGCGATCCTTCCCACATTGGGCAAGTCAGTCAAGTTTTAGAAGAAATTTGCTTTTCTTTCGTTTGTATGGATCACATCCAACAAGAGCGTCAGTTTTTGGGTGATAGCTGCTGCCTGCAGGTTCATCCATCCCTTTTATGTAGGCACATTCCTCAATTTCCAGTATTTAGATTTATCACTTCCTGCCCTGCATCTGAATTTCACGCGTCATAATAGTCACATTACTGCAAACAAGTTATTGAAGCAACTGTGCTCTAACCTTCTGCGGTGTATTACCGCATCCATCATATCTGATAGAAGCACAGCGGGTTCAAATCCTGTGTGGCTTAATGATGTTTTTTTGGCTAATGTTAACAGAAGCAGTAAAGAGTTTTCACAGTACATCTGTAGCTTCATAGATTCAACAAAAAATAGGAACATCACAGCCCGGCAGAGCAGCTGCAGACGTGCTCACAGCCAGTGGCCGTCGGAGCTCGTTCTTTTGAAAGGAGTAATGAGGAATAAATGCATCATGTAAAGTGTCACATCATCTCTCCTTTGGGTAGTGTCTCTGTGGAGAGCTTCCCTAAACTGGTGGCTTCTGGGCTTTTAGTACGAAAAAGCAGCAAAAAGCATGCACATCCACAAACAAAATTGTGCAGGTCCTGAGCTCAAAAATGTGGAAAGCCGAGCAGGTAAGAGTGAAATGACGACGTTTCGAGCTACCGCTCTTCATCAGGTCCTACAGAACAATGGGAGACGCCATCTTTAAATAGGTAAGTGGTCACATGATCAATAATATAGCGATATACACACTCGACTATATACCAACACAAACACCTAGTGAGTGTAGAGACATAAAAACCACGAAGATGCAACATGGTACACAATTGTAAAAAAATAAAAACACTTGAAGCAGTCTGAGTACAAAAACATCAGGTAAGACCGTCATACAGCATCAAACATGCTAAAAGAGGCGCCTCTTACAATAAATGGAAATAAATGCAAATCAATGAGCAGCCAGGGCACAGCAGTTTAAGTATTAGTGTAAGTATACAGCAAAAACAGAAATACATGCAGACCAGCAGAGTTATAACAGTTTAGAGAAAGGGTCTAATGTCACATTGTTCATTAAGGCCTTTGGGTGACATAGTGTTCAGAGTGTATGTCCAAAACAGTTCCCATTTCAGAAGAAGCAGATTGTTAATGTCCCGCCCTCGCTGTGGAGGTTGAACATGCTCAGTGCCCATGTAGGTAAGAGAAGTGACAGGATGGTTCATCAAATTAAAATGACAGGCAACTGGACTTTTCTGATCATGATTTCTGATGGTACTTCTGTGCTCTGAGATTCTATTCTTCAGAGGTCTGGAGGTCTTGCCAATGTAAGCAAGGCCGCAGGGGCACTTCATCAAATAAATAACATTACTGGTCTTACAGGAGATGACACCTTTTACTTTGAAAACCTTGCCAGTGTGTGGGTGGTAAAAAGTCTTTGTTTTGCGGGTGAAGTTGCACTGCTGGCAGTTGCCACATTTGTAGTTACCAGGTTCAACTGGACTCAGGACAGAGGTAGATGGAGGGGGAGAAGGGCAATGAGCCCTTACAAGCATGTTCCTGAGGTTAGGGGGTCATTTGAGCACAACACGAGATGGCTCGTCCAGCTGTCTTTTCAGGGAGGGGTGTGTTCATAAAGTGATGAAACTAAGTGCCCCTGCGGCCTTGCTTACATTGGCAAGACCTCCAGACCTCTGAAGAATAGAATCTCAGAGCACAGAAGTACCATCAGAAATCATGATCAGAAAAGTCCAGTTGCCTGTCATTTTAATTTGATGAACCATCCTGTCACTTCTCTTACCTACATGGGCACTGAGCATGTTCAACCTCCACAGCGAGGGCGGGACATTAACAATCTGCTTCTTCTGAAATGGGAACTGTTTTGGACATACACTCTGAACACTATGTCACCCAAAGGCCTTAATGAACAATGTGACATTAGACCCTTTCTCTAAACTGTTATAACTCTGCTGGTCTGCATGTATTTCTGTTTTTGCTGTATACTTACACTAATACTTAAACTGCTGTGCCCTGGCTGCTCATTGACATGCATTTATTTCCATTTATTGTAAGAGGCGCCTCTTTTAGCATGTTTGATGCTGTATGACGGTCCTACCTGATGTTTTTGCACTCAGACTGCTTCAAGTGTCTTTATGTTTTTACAATTGTGTACCATGTTGCATCTTCGTGGTTTTTATGTCTCTACACTCACTAGGTGTATGTGTTGGTATATAGTCGAGTGTGTATATCGCTATATTATTGTTGTTTTCTACACTTTGTATAATAATTGTGGAAGTAGCATCAGCTGTTTTTGATCATGTGATCACTTACCTATTTAAAGATGACGTCTCCCATTGTTCTGTATGACCTGATGAAGAGTGGTAGCTCAAAATGTCGTCATTTCACTCTGTAAATAAATTGCACTGAAGAGGAGCCCTGCAGTGCACGAGCCTTTCTTTACCTGCTCAGCTTCTGGACTATTCTTGTATAGTTTTCAGCTCAATTTTTTTGTAATGTGGCTGTAATATTCTGTGCTGTATAAACTTGAAAAAGTCGTGCTAGGTTGTCATTCTTGTCATTGTATTGCTCACAGGAAATGCCAATAGACGACAACCCCAGCAGCACAGTGTTCTCTGAAGTTGTTACCTTTAGTGATGAAGAAAGTGATCCGTCAGATGAAGGAGAGGAAGGTGATGACGGTGGGGTGAATTCCGACGGGGATTGGAATCCAACCGAGGATATTTTGCTGGAGGAAGAGCTCACAAAGCATTCTGAAGAGGAAAGTGAAGATGAAGATGAAGACCAAAGAGGAGAGGAAGAAGAGTTTGATTCCCCAGGTGGCCTCAAAATTAAAGAGCTCTGCACAGAATGTGGAAGTTTCTTCAATATTCTGAAGCCTCACACTTGTGAGTACAAAATAAAGCCCTTTTCCTGCAATATCTGCGGCAAAAGATGTGTTACCGAGACATCTCTGAAAAATCATAGCAAAATCCATGACGAAACCTATGAGCATCCTTGCAAATACTGCCACGTTACCTTCAAAACGAGGGTGGACAAACTTAAACATGAGCAGATCCATCAAGATTGCAAAGAACCATATAAATGTCCCGACTGCCCAAAGACATTTGCCAGCAGTAAAGAACGCAAAGCCCACCTGGCGAATCACAGAAGGGCCCCGAAGGAGTACAAATGTGGAGTTTGTGGGATTGAATTTAAGGATGTTCATCATCTGCGGAGACATTCTATCGTGCACACGGAATTGAAACCCTACAAGTGCGCAGTGTGTCACCGTGGCTTCAACCAGTCAAGCCACCTGAAATCTCACATGCGTCTGCACACAGGGGAGAGGCCTTTTAAGTGTAAGCATTGTGAGAAAAGCTTCAATCACAACGTGAGCTTGAAGAGTCATGTCCAGCGTTACCACTCATCGACTTCTGGACATGAACAGAAGAAGGTTAAGATGGAAGAAGGGACCAGCGACACTGGAGATGCAGAGGACAGTGGGATTAAGAAAGGCACAGACTCTGAGTTTGACAATGCAGAAGAAGATGCAGGAGGGGAGGTGCAGAAGGAGGTAACAGAAGAGCGCAAAAGTAAAAAGAGGACCACAGGCAGACCCAGAGGAAGGCCGAAGAGGGACGCAGCAGGCAACTTGATTCCGGCAGGGGAAACAGAAGGCTCACGTTCAAACACTAAGACTGCAAAATCAAAGGTGCGTAAGTTAAAGAAAACAGGTTCCAGCGATGAGGAAAGTGAAGACGAACAATCAGACAGTGACATATCCTATGACTCACCAGAAGAGGAGGAGGAGGAAGAAGAAGAGGAGGAGGAGACAGTGAAGAAGAGCACAGGGAAATCAAGAGGAAGACCAAAAAATGACAGTGACTCTGATTTTGACCCAGAAGAAGTAACAAAGAAAAAGAGGTACAGCAGCCAGAGCAGCGGTAAGACCTCAGGGAAACGTAGGGGAAGGCCAAAGAAGAATCCAGAGGTCTGAAAATGCTTAAAACACACAGCTGAATAATTTGTTTTGAGAAAAAGAAAGAAGCTGCAGAAAACTGGACTGATACCTCTCAAAGATATGGTAAAACAATTTGGAATATGAGAAACAAAACGTTCACACAGGCCAACGTCTTTCTGAGGCCCTGCCTACACATATACAGATATTTTTAAAAGCTGATATTTTCCCCCGTTTTAAAAAGAATCTGTCCATACGACTTTTATTGTACAAAATATCTTCATACACACTAGAAAACAAAAGCACCTCCAGATGATCATTGGTGTTAGCCTTCTCCCACATTCTCCTGTTGTTGCAAATGCAGTAATATTAACAGGCTAATGTTAAATTTTTCAAAACTCTGACTGGAGATCTCATCACCATTTAGTCCCTTTTAACATAAGGATAAAGGAGCTCACTTAAAAATACGAGTAATGCTCTTGACAATCGAAAGTTTTCTTTCCACTCCTCATCAACAACAATCCCACTCTCAAAACTGTCCCACTGTCTGCTGGTTTGCAACTTTATACTGCAGCTGTTGAGGTGGACCACATCACATTGGCCACCACAGACACCTCTGTTCATCTGTAAAGTGGTGAAGCAATACTCATCTAAGTGTAAAGTAGTCATTGGACCAAGCAGTGCTAACAGAACATAAACTAACATGTTCATTACACAAAGCAGCAGTGGGTATGCACAGTTTGAGTAGTGGACGACCCACTCTTCTTCTGAGCCTCAGTCGCCCCCAGAGTCATTTTAGTGACCTATGACTCTGTTCACATGTGGACGAGAGGCCAAAACGTAGAGGAAAATATACATGTTCAAAAATATCTGTGTATTTGTTGACAGGGCCTGAATTAAATCATCTTCTACTGTGCAGTATTGGAGGGTCAGTCAGTGAATCAAGTGAAAAAATCAGATATTTGTATTCAGTTCGAGTGCATTATATTAAAAAAAAAAAAAAAAAAAAAAAAGTGACTATCAGTGTACCGTAAGGTAATTGAATTAGGTCACTAGATGTCGGGAAAATGGTATAACCGTTAGGAAATATGTACTATATTCATGTATTATAAGAATAATGTAAGTTTCAAGCTAAAAAAAACAACATTTATACCGAGGTCGGGGTACTGTGGCACAGCCAATGTTTCTTTTGTCTTTACTTATTCACTATAAAGCTACAGCACACTAATCAGTGTGGGCTCAGAGAGCAAGGACAGTGCTAATGGTTTTGTATTGTTTAGCACATTAGCTACAAATTGTTAACATTGCTGCTGAGCATTTTGGATTGTTTTGCTACTTTCCAGGTTGAAATGGGGCTTAGTTTTCCTAAAAAAAAAATGGTTGCTGAAGGTTGAAACTAGTTTGAGATACAGAATCTGATTCATGAGAGTGAAGAGAAGTTAGTTATGGTTTATCACTATGGACTGTTTTGAAACTCATCATAGGACATGTTTAAGGACCTCAGAGTCTGCTTGCACCTGTATTGGAACACAAGTATATAAGGAAGTAAAATACCGGTTAATAAAGAAACATGTAAATATAGTCCTGGAGACAGTTCACTGTTTTCAATCAATCAATCAATTTTATTTATAAAGCCCAATATCACAAATAACAATTAGCCTCACATGGCTTTATAGCATACGACATCCCTCTGTCCTTTGGACCCTCACAGCGGTGTTTTAAATTCTCTATTCCAAGTATGTTTCAAGTCTCTGCAAGTGCATTGTCATACCGCACAGGAACTAACAAGTACATGATGTTAAACATATGCAATTTGTAGACAACAGTGTGGGCCTTTATGTGATTGCAGATTTTTACATTAGAAAAAAATTACAAATAAATGTGTCCAACTGCCATTGTGAGAGTCTGTCATCCTGCATTGTCCGTTAGCTTACAGAGTGTGGTGAGGGAAAGGTTCACATTTCAATAAACAAACTCAGACAAACTGGTCCCCGGCCAACTCCAGTGGAGCTGGTGAGCGCTCGGTATCTTGCCAAAGGAGAGACAACGATTGAGCGATTGACTTTTTCCCCTAACTTCCAATTCGGAATTTAAATGGACGAGTGTTCAGAGTTCCCACTTTGATCGTAAAGCCTGAATGAATCCCCACGCTTACATGTTTATCCTCTTCCTCTTTCTCTCTCTGTGCCAGTGCTGAAGCTAGCATCATGGCCCATCAAGTTTTTTTTGAGTCTCCAGCCTGTTGCTGGGCAAACCCAAGGCTGCTGAGTGCGTTAGATATGCCGACAGTTTGCAGATCTAAACGTGGACTAATGTTTTGAGTACTGAAATAAACAGTGTTTATTTTGTCTTTTAATGAGCTGCAAACCTTAGTGCTATGAGGTTGCACTGACACACTTCACACAAATGAGGATTTGTGTACAAGAGGTAGTCGAGTCAATTTTAAAGCCTCTCATTTAACAGTTGGTGTGAATCAGGTGCTTGACAGAGTTTATATCAAGCTGAGTGTGTGTTTACTACAAGCTCTTAATTTTCAATACTACCACTCAGCTGCAGTTTTAATAAAGGTCAACAAGACAAAATGCAAAGTGAGCCTCCTGTTTGGTCGCATCACTTTGCCACGTATTGGGAAATGTGAGAATCAGTCACACACAATTTAAGACTTGAATTTTGTAGAATGATTTTGTCAGATTGTCCTTTGGCTCATGAGTCACAGAGGTTTGAAACTAAGGACAGAGACCGCTTGTAACTGATAATATGGTAATTTGTTCAGTGTGCATGATAGATTTATTCAGCAAATTATATTTTTCACTTAGCTCTAGCCATTTGTTGATGGTGCATCTTTAAG